ACCAGACTAGGCAGTTTCCTAGTAATGCCTAGTATATTATATAATATAACCGGTGCTTCAGTACAGTAGTTTGTCTTAATATAGAGAAAAGTACTCACAAACGTCTAAAGCACCTTGAGACTTGCTTTTCAGGGGAAAGGGAGTTACTTCCTTATTGCTACTAATAGATGACATTTTAACATCAATGAATTTTAAAAGAGGGGAAGTTCTTTTTTATTAAAACACTCGTGTGTCCAACACCCACCGAATCCTACAGTAGGACTTTCTGTTGCTCTTGTGAAACACCTTCCGTTTGTATTAAGCTGTATAATACGTGCACACTATTCTTACACAGATTGTTATACTTAAAATGATCACATTATGCCTCACAGGGCTAAGATGGAGTTTACAAAAGAGAGCTGATTAAACGTTGTTGTCGCTGTCGTGCCTTACCAACAGCACCTTTTACTTCATTACCAGTCACACAACTGCTGTTCGGCATGTCTTGCAGTTACGGCAAAGAAGCCCTTTCACGAAGTGCCTGCCCTTCAAGACAGGCTGTTCTAACAAGCGAAGAAAGAGTCAGCATAAAACAATTCGTGGATAGGGAAAAAATGTGTCCCTGAATGGCAGTCAGCTTTCTGGACTATCACCAGTCGCGCATAAACAAGAGATTAGATGTTGTAAGTGGTTAATTCCCAGTTTTGGGGCTCTTAAGGATTTCCTTCAGGATGAGGCTGGTTAAATCACTTATTTAGAAAAATATGTCAAACTGACAAATATTCCTTCACTGTCACCATCTGCCCCAATTTTTTTTTTTTTTAAACAACAACTCATTTCAGCTGATCAGGATTTAATGGTCTCCAAGATCTGCTGTAAAAGCTGTTTGTTTTCCAATACTGAAATGGTTGGCTTGAGAAGCTAATTTAGGGTTCAGAGAGGGTTTGACTGATGTGGGAGATTTTTTTTTCTCAGAAATTTTTTTTGGTTTATAAGACTACTGTATTTTGTTACAAGAATTCTGTCTAAAATAAATTCTAGAATGCCTGAAGTGTAAACAGAGAAGTAACTATTACATTTAAAAATAGCATCTAAAACTTTCATACGCTTAAGCTAAGGTATGATGAAAACTGCAAGAACAAACATATTCTTTTATAAGTCTCCTGTCTGCTTCTCATATCTCAACAAATAGGTGATGATGAGTTAACCTTGTGAAATATTTTGTTTTAAAGCCAATTCTAACTAATGGACTAACTACACAAATTAAAGGGGTGGTACAACTCCAAAGCCTTATTTCAGAGGTTATTTTACACAAAACCAGAAAAAGACCCCCAGGGACGTCTAGGACAGATTTTTAAATCACTATTGATTTTGCGTGGAAGGAGCTCAGAAACATCTGTCGTGATCTGCTGTGCAAAGCCCTTAAGTAGACCAAGTAAGGTATATTAATATACCTTGGTAAGGTATATAATCATAACAAAACAACTCCACGCCTTTTTTGAAGTTTTCCCATCACTGCTACATCTGCAATCTGAATCCTCAAATGCAATTATTTGCTGTTGCCTATTCTAATCCAGGAAAACTTTTGATCATAAAAAAACTCAGTTTGTGCTGTGCCAAAGCCGGTAGGTTGCTAAGAAAGGTATGAGGGGAACTTTTCTGACACATCTGCCTGATATCCAACTCTGAAAATAACTCACTGAACACTGATAATCAACAAAATAAGGCAATTCCTCAAAAGAAAGCACAGCACAGTGCATTTTATACTTACCAAACTATCCACATCTATGCTTGAGTTTACTGCCCACTGCAAGGTTCCCATGATGTTCATGGCTAAAGTAATAATAATACCAACTCTAGCTGGTCCATCACCTGCGGAGAGAAAAACACATTCAATTTATATGCAAATAAAAAGCCAACAGAAATCAGAAAATTAGCATGTGTATCTTAAAATACATATTCACATTCTGTCGTCTATTTATTTCATGGAGAAAACATGGATTTGTTAATTACACAAAGGAATGAGAGCTTAATCATCAGTTAAACACCTGGCTTTGGTACTGAATTCACTAGAAACCCTGATCTTGGTTTGGCAGTAGAAAAAATTAAATCTTGGTACTTAAGCCGTGAACAGAATCAGGCCTCTGCTATCTTGATTTCAATTTCCTTTTTCCAACACATATGAATCTGTGAAATGACTCTTATCTAACTAAAACACCACAGATAACAACTTTAAAATTCAAAATAGTTGCGCTGGCTTACATTTTCATTTCTTTGACAAATAGAGGACATGTTCTACTTACTGTTCCACAAAGATGCAGATATAAATTCTTTTGCTTTAATTGTCTGCTGTTAACAAGCATGGGATTTTCCAGGGATTTTCCTTTATGAGTTCATACAACACAATGTAAGCATCTAAACTAATACACTGTTGATTTTTATCTCACTATGTGTTAAATGGAATTGAGAATTTAAGCCAAATGCCTTTCTATGATTTCTCCATTTCTTCTATCAAGACATCTCGTTATCAGAGTAATTATAGAAGTAAACAATAAAAGCAAAATATTGCTCCTGAAAGCTGACAGATTAAGAAAAGGAATTTAGTGTTGCTCCAAGGACCTATTACCTGTAACAGTAAAGTTTACAATGGTGGCAAGATGACAACTTTTCCCGTTTTTAAAAAGTGCTTCTAACCCCTTTTCTCAAATAAAATATCCAGAAAAACAAAACATAAGAAACAGTTAGTTTTCCTGAAAAATGCCAAACTACTAAGCGCATGAAGTAAAACATGAGAAGGGCAGCAGGGGAATTAAAAGTCTCCTTTGTAACAGAAGTACTGTAGGTGCATATTTTCATATAGAAGTATTTGTGTGGTTGGATTTATTTTTCTAAGACAGGAGAGTTCCTTATACAAAAATAAAAGATAGCATTTAATACACAATACAATATTCAATAAAATGTACACTTTTATATAACTCCTTTTCAACACTGAAGTATGATCAAATTAAATTTGGATTTTATTAGAACCAAAAAATCCTTTCACAAAATCAGCAAATTCTTGTTCATCAGTGACCATAGTATTGAAACAGCATCCAGATGCTGCACACAAAATTCAGTGTAAAACTCGGGAGAAAGGGAATAATGCCTGAGAATCACAATCAAAAAACATACATAACAAAAGCGTAGTGAATTAAAAACTCTATTTGAAGTAATCTGTAGCTAAACCTGCTGAGTTTTTCCACAGAACTGAATTATTCCAACATTTTGGGGACATTCACCTCCTATTCTCTGCTTGTTGGAGACTGGCTATGCCTGGCCAGCCACGGGCAGCATTTCAAATACAAGTAAGATAGTAAGGTATAGAGTGATTCCGATTCGTGTACTGGGTTTACTAGGAGCGGCGAGCCATTTTTAAGGTGATTTTGAATGGAATTTGCAAAACTTCACATTGGAAAATGGGTCAGTGGGTTGGGAACTAGAGAACTGGATGACTATTTCTGCTACTGGTGTGGCTTTAAAAGATCATTAAAACTTCGCATGTCTTAGCAATTTGCAAATGAGAGGAACATTAATCACTATTTACTAAAAAACTTTGAGCTATACAGATGATAATCAACATCCAAGCTTTTCAGTACACTAACGTGGTTATGTTAATGTGGTTTAAAACACATGAGATTACTTTTATAGCAATTACAGTCAAGAAAAGGAGAAGTTCTGTCCCTTCAGATATTATTTTCAGATTAATCCCTTTACTGTATCTCTACAACATCAGATTGCAGATAATAATAGTGTAATTTCTCTTTTAATTAAATTGCGTTTACTATTATGACATACTTAAATCAGTGTCAAATGTATGCTAAATTTTGCAACGGTTTATTCCCCTCAGAAGTTTCTAAAGCTGAGTTGTTAAACAGAAGCAGAAGACTTCCATTTCAGTACTCCAGTAAAGTTACTGTACCTGTAGTTATGATAGAGATGAACGCCACAGCAACAAAAAAGACAACAAAAATAATTTCTATTCTCATCTGGAACCAGCGCAGCGTTGACAGGTAGAGGAACCAGTTTGCCGTGTGTAGGTTCAGGGCTTTGTGAAATAAGGTCTCAAAATATGGCTGCCGCCCAAAAGCTCTCAGTGTCCACAGCCCTTTTAAGCTTGTAACAAGATGGGTGAATATTGGACTCCGAGCTGTAAAGTGTTTAAGTTAGAAACATCATGAACACTCAGAAGCAAATACCTTTGATATAACGCAAATACACAGCCCTATGCTCTAACTTACAGCAGTATAACTACTGTCTGTTTAATTTACATATGTTGTTGGAGTACATGACTGAAGTAATCCTAGCACAGGATATTCAACAACAGTCTTTGTGTGAATGGGTTGAAATTCCATTCAGCGTATTGCCAGGAAGGGATCACATTAATTCTTCATAGTTAGCATACTACTTGGGGAAGCTCCTGGCCTGCTGTAAGGTGCCACAAGAGAAAGGCAGCTCCTTCCCAGCCAAAATGAATTCCTGCAATTCTGATAACTCCATCAAGTGAATTTTTTTTAGCACAGACAGAGTACTTTAATGCTGTGGATTCCACTGTACTGACATGGTAATTTTAAGATGATCTTGCATTACATAAAAAATGGTAAGCCAATGCTGGATCCCTGTGAACATCAAAGAAATTTAGATTTAGATCTGAGGAACTTCAGAATTACACTTAAGTAAAAGGGAAGATGATCATCAGTGTTTAAGATTCAGGACTGATTTGCTGAGGATCTGCCAGTTTGTTGTGAAGCCAAATCAGTGCCTGATCTGCAAACCCACACTTCAGAATGAGGTTCTCCATTTTATTGGGAACGTATTAGTCTCTTAAGGGGGGGAGAGGAAGGAAATTTAGTCAAATAACTTATTCAGAAATAAGAATTCTTTGCAATCAAGATATATCCATTCTAAATTTTTCTTATTAGAAACAAACTCATAGGGCACATACCAAGTCTGACCACAATTTTTCAAGTTACGTTTACTCTCAAGAAAACCGTATGTCAGGACTTTATTTGTTTTCAGCTGCAGTGGTGATAAAGGCCAGCTTTAAAAATATCTTCTCCATTGCTCTTTGGCAGCAGAGCACTCAGTAGTGGCTGGATCAGTAACAGCACTGGCTTTAAGGAGATATGTGTTCTGCTCCCAGAGACAATGGCATCTTGCAAGAGAAAAGGCAAAGAAGAGGTGAAAGGGTGAATCACTTCTCAATTGATTTGTTGTGGATTTAGAAGTCTACCAATTTTGCTGCTCCTACCTTCAGATTCCAGTTGTTTCAGCTGCTGAGAAGTGTGGAGGAAGTATGCCCTTAACACAATAAAGGCTGCTATCACAGGCACTGATGCCAGGAAGATGTAGGGTTGTAATATTGAGACTACTGTTATAGCGCCAATCACAATCAGTATTAACTGCAGAATGAAAGAAAAATACTATTGATATAGTAAACTTGTCATTTTATAGACTAGAGATTGGTGATGAATCTCTTTCCCATGGCAACTACGTATTGTTTCAACAAACATAAAGTGCTAACCTAAGTAGGATTTGCAGCTGAGAACAAACCTCCGTGAAAAGATCATGAATACCTGAGACCAGATCCATAACCTGTTGGTATAAGCTGCCACCTTTTCTAATAGATGGAAGAAGTGTTTTCTGTAGTGCAACCAGTATTGCAGGCTTCTAAATTATGAAGCCACACAAACACAATGGCAACTAGGTACTCACTCTCCAGTTAAAATTGTAAGAATGACACTTGCAATATCTGCAGCCAACTCCCAAACCTAACGGTGCTGTCCTGTCTTGTCTGGACAAGGTGTGTCAGACTGTCAGGACCTGAGTGCCAGTCTCCTGCAGGTTCTGGGCCAAGCAGTTTTTCTGAGGGTCAGAAAAAGTGGGAAGTCGCACATCATTGCTTGCTCAAGGGACTCTAACCCACATATGAAACTAGCACTACTACTCCTCCTGATCAGAAGACAGGAAACAAGTCATAAGAGGACTAATGAAAAATTAGCAGTTTTAGGAGAAAAAAAGATGTTTTAAGGTGACAGATGACTCAAAAGGAACAAAATCATTCCAGAGTTAATCTAGTTAACCCACCAGAGACTATTACCGTTCTCATAAGACCTCATACTCAGTAGCTCCAGACAGATTTAATTAAAGCAGGCCCTGGTCTACTCTAGAAGCATCTTAAGCACTTAGACTGTTTTTGTCTCATACCTAAATCTAATGAAAATCAAGTGTATCAGTGTACACAGAATAGCAAAGTTCTGCTTTGTATCAGGGTGTTACCTTCCACACTAAACAACTACTTCAAACTGCAAACTTATCAGCCTAAAGCAACTGCAAACGGACAATTTGGACAAAATGATGAACATTGCATTGAAACATCACTGCAAATGACCAGTCAGCAAAGAACGAGATGGAAAGCAAAACTAATTTCACATTAGGAAGAAAACTGCAGTTGGTGCTTTTGCTACTACATCCACATAAATTCAAGGAAGGATTTAAATTCCCAGTACTCCAAGTCAGAGGTCTTTCATGAACAGGTAAGCAGGTTTCCTACCCTTGGTTTTCATCAGAAATCTGAGCAATGCAATAGCAGCATCAAAGTTTATGAAAAAAAAATTACTGTAACAGCTGAACTAGTTAAAGGTTTCTTTCATTGTTTTCCTCCTTTCTCTCAAAAGAATGGTGACACACGTGGGTTATGCTTGTGCAGGCTGTATAGCACCGGTCTGTAGCAATACAAGAATGGATTTGTGTTTACTCATTATTTCAACCTGCAGAATTTAGTACCTCTTGTATCTCTAATTGTAAAGAAGCGAATGAGCTGTTCAACTGATATTGAGCCAAGTTATACAGCCCTCACATTGCTTGAGATTACATTACATCTAATTCCTGTTTCCATCATTTACTCAAATTTTGCAAAGGCCACCATGAGGCCATATTCTTCTCACTACTGGTCCAACAGTTATTTCACTAAAAAGTTGAATATGAAAATTTGTGTTATCTCATAAAATCCGAACACAAAGTGTAAAGTCAAACAGAAGATGACACCTTCTCTAAAAAGGCAGTAGCAAAAATCAACGCACAAGTCAGCTACATTGGCGTATGCTCAGGGAATGGCAGCATAGGGCTCGTGCGGCCCAGTTAAGAGCCACACTGCTGCGCTGCGATGACCCCAGGTGCTGAGCTTTGAGGCCTGGGACAGAGGCCAGATGAGGAGACACGTTCCAGTGCTTCCTCTGTGTCACCAGTTTGGAAAATGCAGCTGGTGGTGGAGACAGCAATTCAGCAAGGGTTCAGGGTGGTGATGACTGCAGCAGCCAATCTGGTTTAGCAATGGGGGTTTATCATTTAGGGAAAACCAGTCATGACCATAGGTATAAATGTTCAATGAGTTCACTATGACCTTTTGAGTGGGACTATATTAAACTCTAGAGATGAGCACGTCACATGAGGGATCTCCAAAAAATTATGACCCCACTGTAAGCACTGGTAGAAGACTGAGATGGATGTTAAAACTAGTGGCAATGCTACTGCCACCATTAGCTGGCTACAATTCATACTCTAGATGTATGCAAGCAGGTCAGATGGCTGTCAGAGAAAACATGATAGTTGCTATCTCTTGTTGATGTAAAGGTTAATACCATTTCTTCTTTTATGGGCAACTGAGTAAATCCCAGTGACCGGAGAGTAACCCTGGCCTCTTTCATCCTGAAGCCTCATTCATCATGGATGAAAAGCCCTGCTCCCTAAAAAGGAAGCTCCCCTGATATGTGTAATACCTATAAAAGTCCTAAGAAAAACTGTCATGACATCCACAACTGCAACAGAGAAGGAGGCAGTGTCCCTAAACAAGGAGTCATCTACCAGCTCTTTCTCACAGAAGAGGGAATAAGAACCAGCTCTAAAATTTTGCGTCAAATTCTTGGGAAAAGCTCAGAAGTCAGAAGGACAAACTTATGCAAACATAAAACTGAAGGCTAGCAGAGACCAAGTCTCCATCTCCACAGGACTCGGATTTAGGCATCCCAGTACATTTAGAAGCTAACCTTTTCTGTAGATCTCTGCACCTGGAAAGGAATAATCACATTCACTAGTACAGGCTGGAGGCTGACTGAGTGGGAAGCAGCTTTGTAGAGGTGGCCTTGAGGGCCCTGGTGGACCATGAGGCAGCAATATGCCCCTGCAGCAAGGGAGGCCAACAAGGGCAGCATTGTCAAGCATCATCAGATCAAGGAGGGTGATCCTTCCCCTCTCTTCAGCACCAATGAGACTGTATCTAGAGTGGGCTCTCCAGTACAAGTGAGATACAGGCATACTGGAGTGAGACAAGTGAAAGGTCTTGAAGATGGCAAAGGGACTGCAGCATCTCATACACAAGGACAGGCTGAAAAAGCTGGGATTGTTTAGCCTTAAGAGAAGGCTTAGGGGGATCTTATCACTTTGTATAAGTATCTGATGGTATTTATTATATTTATATAAATTATAAATTTGTG